AGTCTGGGTCATAAAATCGAATGAGAATCCGCGGTTTTTAGCTCCGGCTATATCCGTGGAAAAGCTACTTTGATACCGCCACCCCATACCTACACCCGCATTTCTGAGTGTTTTACCCGCCGCGTATATAGTATAGCTGAAGAATGCGCGCCATACGTAAAGCCCCGAGATGCGCGGTGCAAGATCTCGGACAGGCGTGCAAGCACGCGGAACTCAAGCATGTGAGTGAGAGAGAAAGATTGGACGTAGAATAGCAGTGGCAGCAGCAGCAGCAGCAGCAATCCTCGCAATTCTCGCGCGAGCGTGCGCTGTTGTTTCCATTAAATGCGAAGAGGTGAAAATTCTTCTCCCAAGCAATTATTTTTCCGAAGAGCTTTTTTATGTCCATTGCGCGAACAAAAGCTCATTGAGGTGCGACACTTCGATGGTGTTTTTCCATTAAAGCCTGCCGTTCGACGAGCAAACGAATAAAAGATCAAATGAGATTCATAACAGTTTTCGTTGGAATATTGGATCTCAAAGCACTGCTTGCGCATCGTTTACTTTATAATACGTTAAGGTGAATCTCCAACACGCCGGATAAAATTTAGAACGACGACTCCGGCAAACTTGTTGTTTTTCTTGTCGTTGCCTTTGTCGCAGTCGTTGTGCTGTTGTTGTTTCTAAAGACGCGCGAGTGCGTTAGAAAACTTCACGCCAAGTGTCATCGAATGCCTTTCGCGCTCCTCTCGGCTCTAAAACTCAACGCAAACAAACGTACTTACGGTCCGTCGCGCTCGACTCGGCGAGACTCGAGGTACAAAATAGCCGCCGCGTATACGCGCGCGTCGCGTGTTGTGTTTTATACTTCCACACGCGATACAGAGCAAATAAAAGCCAAGTACACGAGACTTATATAGATTTATATACGTATGTCGGCTGTGTCGTGTGCCGTAGCGCGTGCTTGCGGCCGTAGATTTCAATTAGTATGTACGAAATTGCACGAGAAAATTGAGCCGAGTAAATTTACGGTTGCCTTGCACAGGTGCAGATCGTACATTTATATGCAGTATTTAATAGAAAAACGATTGAGGAGAGCCTCTCACTGTAGAAGGAAATTGAATAAATAAAGTTGAAGTCGACAATAAAGTGGCGAGTTTGAACTGGAGACTCTCGCACGTGTGGTATGTTTGTTGCGCTTTCGACTTTACGAGCGGAGGAACTGGAATAGCATCAAAATAACACATACCCTCGGATATCGAAGACAACTTGCCACTCGTTTTCTCTCTGTAGTAGTACGTAGAGATGGAGGGTGCGAGAGAAGTCAATGGCGCGCAGTCGTGATTTCGCGAGGTTTATTTTTAGGATTTCGTGACAATGGCTTGTCTTATACATACATACACGTGCTGCACTCGCAGCGGTCAATTGCGTTTCTCTCGATGTTTTTTCTATCGCTCGTAAAATGGAAGGACGTCTCACGTACGTACATATAGTCTGGGGAAAATTCCGATCGTGTGACAATTCGATGTGACTTTCTCGAGGTATATAAAAGAAAAAAAATACCAGGTCAACGTCGTACATAATACATTTTGACTAATCTTCGCACCGCGGCTCAAATGAAATTTGTCCTCCTTCAATATCTCCGTCGACGTCTATTCACGATCGTACAATTTTTTCTTCTTCTTTTTTTTTTTTTTATAAATTCCTTCACACTCGCTATTGTTTATTTGAGCTCGTTGCAGTGCACAGTGCTGCTTCTGCATTTCTCTCTCTCTCTCTCTCTCTCTCTCTCTCTCTCTTTTCAAAACATAGCAATGCACAGTAGTAGTTCAAGTTTCGCTATCTCACTCGAACTCGAGACTTTGCCTGCAGGCAGTTGCTTATCGCTCGCTTTTTCCGTGTGGCAGTGTCGTGCGAGAGTGTGAGAGAGAGGAGGCCTCCAGCTCTTTGCAAAACCTTTCTAGTTCGCGACGACTACTTTCCTAGTTTCGCGCTCTCTCTCACTCTCATTCACGCTTTTACTCGTCGTTGCCGTCTTTTTTACCTCTCGCTTCTTCCTTATCTATTGTCTATATGTACCTCCATTTTATGCGCGCGCGAGCGACCACCGCTACTGCCACGGCACTGCACGAGCGTAGAGCAGCGCATTGTGAAAGATAGTAAATAATCTATTTCGCTCGAACTGAATGAACTGCGCGCGCCCCGTGCAGTGTACATTGCATTATGGCGCCCGAGCTTTTTTTTCCACTGCGCAGCAGAATCAAGTATATGATTTTGCACGATGAAAAGCGTTAACTCTGTTATTTCATCGACTTGCTCGGGCTGCAGACCGTGTGTCCGTGTCCGAGTATATGTGTGAGAAGCCAATCGATTCAAGAGGACGCGAGGCGGCTATTTTTCAATTGAAAAAGCTTTCAGGCAAAAGCTTCATCTGCAAGCACACGCACACGTCGCGGCACGAGCGCGTCACATTTAATCGATTGTTTCACAGAGCCAGGGTAAATGTAAATTAATATGGTGATAAAAGCTTTTTTTCGTGAAAATTCAGCCTCCTATGCGAGTCGCTCCCACCGAACAATACAATTTTTCTCGCTTTTCTCTTTCGCTCTCTCGTCCCCTCTATCCCTTTACCCCTCTCTCTCGCGCGTTCTCCCTTTCCTCTCGTGTCAAGCGTGAGCGAGTATACTTTTACAAGTCCGCGATCTTTCAATTTCCATATAGCCGTCACAATCACTCTCTCGCGCGTGCATCTGCCAACAATAAAGCTCTCTCGCGAGCGTTTTATACTTCTTTTTTTTTACTGCGCGCGCCGCTTTATTCATTGCTTTAGCATATTTTCAGGCGCGTCGGGACTAAAAGCTCGCGTTATACACCCAGCAGCTAAAAATGAATGGATTTTTTCCGTTCTGACAGTCCGCGTACTATATACAGCATTATATTATATAACGCAAAGCCCCGTCGGCCGAGTAAATCAGTCGTTCAACTCCCGCGCGCGCTCGCGGGGGTGTGCGTGTGCGCGTGTTTTGCCGCTTGCTTCGCGCGATAATCGATCACTCCGGTGCTAGTCGTCGTCGTCCTCGTCATGGTACTGACATACGTATGATATACCTTATGGGTTCAGGCTATATGGAAATCGTGCGCGAACGAGAGAGAGAGAGAAATTAATTACCCTTTGGGATTTTCGGTGCGAAGGAGTTCGACCTCTCTCGCCCTCTCATTCCTGTTTTCTGCACCGCGCGGAAAAGCCGTTAACAAGTCATAATTCTCGTGCCTTATACGCGTCGATTTCGTATATAGATATATGTACTCTATACGCGACACGCACAATAGGCTCTCGTTCTTTATTATATTCCATGTACATATAGATATAATACCTGTGCGAGCTTGAGAGCGTTTTAAACGTGTACGTGCATGCTCGAGGCAAGGCTGGAGCTCGCTCGCTCGCTCGCTTATTTTCAGCGGCCCCGAGAGCTGCGAGAGAGGTGTCATATACTTTTTGACGTTGTCCTTTGTATATATATGACAAAAATTAAATTCCTCTACTACCCAGGGCCTTTATATTGTTCAACTTTATGAAAAGCAACAAAGATGTCAAAGAAAGCTGCTGCTGCTGCTGCTGCACTTGCTGCACGGCTACTACCCATGGCACAGCTAGTACTGTTGCTGCTGCTACTACTACTAGCCCTTGAGGCTTTTTATCGCATCCTTCGTTGACACATATAAAAAAGCTTTTGAAAAATTGTTTCAGCGCAGAACAATACACTTTAATTTTATAGAGTCGAGAATTTTTTAAATATTAAATTCAATTTATACATTTTATTTTATTTTTTTTTGTTTGGTCACCCGACAAATGCTTTGTTCGGTGCTCATCTTCATTCATTCTAATGAAGGTGGCGCGAAACAATGATACCAGCCATACGAAAGCAGAGGGTTTTGGATACGAAAAATATAGATGAAAACTCAATGTGTGTCGTTGTGTAGCTTTAAACTATACATTTGCACGGTTTCTTTTTGAATTTTTAATTCGGTCATCCGTTCCATTTTCAACATCCGATTCTACACGTCAAATAAAAAATTCTTCGACGAACGCGAACATTTTGAGACCAAAATAACTTCAATAAAAATGAATGCTTCAATTCCACGACCAGAATCCACCCAATTTTTATGAAATTTCTCGTCTCGCAATTAGAAAACAGCAAGCACTGCAGAATCAAGTGTAATATCAAGTTTGTTCAATCGCATTTCAGTTCGGCGAACGTGCGCAATATGCGTCGGTGAGTGTGTAGTGTGAGCGTCTATGTACGTGTGCGGCTGTGGGCAAGTGCCACGAGCACCTGAATATAACAGTATATGTAATATTGAAAAAAAAGGAAAACGAAGTACGTCTTGTACGTTTCTTTGTCGCTCTTTCAGCTGGAAATAGCGGGAGATCTGTCGGATCGCTCGCAACAATAATACAGAGCGGGAAGCGTGCGAGTATATATCGAATCTTCGAAACTGCCATGTGTGCAGTCTCTCAAGCGACACTCCATCTGATTTATACAAGAGAAAGAGTAAATCAAACGGTACCATATGCGTACGATATGGTTTTCTGCGAGTTATCGAAGTGTTTTCTTTTTCTTGCAGCAAAGGTTCGCATATAATCGACATTTCGTGCATGCGAACTATGTTCAAGTTTGCGCGAGCACGAATAAAATGTCAATCAGCTTTCTCTCAATTTTTTTAATTTCTCTCTTAAACTGGAACATAAAAAAACAGTTCTTATTCAAATTAATTTATTGTTTTCAACACTTTATCTAAACTCCATTACATTATACTTTATTTACTTGACTCGTGTGTTTTGCATTCAAATTTTTCATTAAAAATATAGTGTAGTTCTAATGATACAAGAGTGCCTACTTATATGGCAGTACATCACTGCGTATGGCTAGTCGACGCGGTGGGGGAAGACATCGTCAAGGAGCTATCGCAATTGCAAAATCTATTCGCTAAATATGAGTAGTGTATTCAGTCAAATTTCTGAGTAAGCAAGTGTTTACTAATTTGCGAATTTGAGGTATAGTGTTGGCTACGCAAGACACATAACCTCAAATATTTTCTCAAAATTCACGGTGATAACTTATAATTAAGTGAGTGATGGAAAATGGAGAAAATAGAGTTAGGTGTTACTTTCTTTATCCATATTATAATATTTTTTCAAAGTGATTGTTTAATAAAATGCGATTTTTCTTAAGAGTAAAAGAATAACCGAATGATACTTTACCAGATACAGACGATGATTATGTATTCAGTGCAATGACCTCTTGCAAAGTGAAAAACTTTGATTCATTCGCTGTTTTTAAATCACCGGTAAGTTAAATGATTTGACTTAAATTCTGTTTTTCCATCGAGGAAAAATCTTACACGATTTGAATTTTAGGCAAATCATATGAACGAGGTTATTCAGTTACAAGAAAAGTTAGATAAGAAAACATACATTGATTGCAAGTCCAAAGATATTCAATCTGAACCAACGTCTCTTTCGACAAGCATCCGCAAAATCGAGCATCAAAATTTTCAATCTGTTGTAAAAATAGAAAACGAAAATCAGACTAATGACACAAATGAAAATATATTCATCGATTTTGATTGCAAGTATATGAAACTTGAACTGCAATCCTCACCTACGAGCATTTGTAAAACTGAGTATCCAAGTTATCCACAAGTTGAAAAACAAGAAAACCAAATTCAGACAAATTGCTTCAAATTCTGTCAACGCAACGAAGACTTCTACAATCCAATTAGTACACTTCGTATTTCAAACAATCTTTCATAACAATATTTTTCAATTTTGTCAATAAAAATCACACGAAACTATTATTAATTTTATTGTGATTGTAAAACAGCTTCTACCTGCACCTACTTCCTATCGGTATGTGGATAGACAGTTCTCGATCACGACGACGGCTTTCCAATTTTATATTGTTATTGTTATAGATATTAGATACAAACGATTAACTAGATCAGTGTGTGCACCTGGATTAGAACGTCTGCAATAGTAATTCTTCAATAGTAATTGATTCTTCGTAAAAATGTTTTACGCATAGCCAGGGTCGAAGTTCTTGTCTACAAAACAGGCGACTTCAGGGTCGCACAGAACGTAATAGAATCTCGCGTGTTTTATAAACTATATACATGGTGCATCTATTTAAACGTTGAATTTATAACGAAAAGCAATACACACACCCATGGAGCTCATATACTGCATATAATATAGCGCACTTGCTATGCTACGTTGCACACAAACGCGTGCTGCTGCTTGCAGAATCGATTAACGAGATTGGAGTTTCGGACGCTATGAACCGCATATTATACGCAGCTAGCGGGGTTAATTGAAAGTTTAATCGTTCAATTTATCGAGGGTTATTGTGAATGTGAAGGAGCTGCTGCTGCTGCTACTACGTTGCTGTGTGTATATGCGAGTGTGTGCGCACACTTACACACTTGCGCGCGGCTCAGGGGGGTGGGCTGAATATAGCAGCGATGATGGTCGATCGACACGATTGCGAAGAGCCGATAAAAGGAGAAAGGGAGAAAGGGCGCTAAACGAGCTAGGCCAAGTGCAATGCACACACACAGTGGCTCTATAGTAGTATCACACACAGCTAGCCGTGCACGCGCGATCATCGAGCCTTGATAAAGTGCCACGCTGAAATATATGGATGGAGTATGTACTCCCTTTTCCCGATCGCTATATAGTGTATATACACTTACTCTATGTGTGTGTGTATGTGTGTGTGTGTATTATATAGATACTGTACGTTTTTCGACCGCGCGTGAGAGCCTACGCCTCGAGTGTATTACTTCGCAATTGCGCTGCTGCACCCACCTGTCCCTAAACGCGAAAAGCTTTGCTTTTGGTTAAATAAAAAAAACCTATACTGCACTCGCACGAGTTCTCTCTCTCTCTCTCTCTCTCTCTCTCTCTCTCTCTCTCTCTCTCTCTCTCTCTCTTTCTCTTTCTCTCGATATATAGACGTGATAAAATGTCGATGGATATAATTTTACCCTTTATTTTTCCATTTTATTTTATTTTTTTTTGCTCGAGCAGCTGCGCAAATTAGCTCGTTTAACGAAGGTTTTCAGATCTTTTTTTTCTACAACAAAAGGGCTACTATTACCCGTGATAAAAAGAAACGCATAAGAAGCTTAATCAGTGTACGTTCGACTAGTCTGCAGTCGCGTAACGAGATGGAATGACTATGAAGTTTCTGAATAATAAAATAAGAAGAATCAACTTTTTTACATAGTGGAAAACGACGATCCACTTCGTTAATATTTAATACGTGATATTTTTCATGCGCGAACAGGATCAGTCGATAGCAAATTCGAAGACCGGCGCACCGAGTATCGAAAAAAAAAACTTACAGCCATAACGAAGTAATTACAAGCTCAACTCGCTGCGCCTCATCGAGCCGTGTAATCATAAGACTGCGCGCATACTCGTGGATAGAAGCAATGTAACGAGTGAGATGGCAAAATAAGAGAGAGACAGAGAAAGGGAGGAAGAGATAAGTGCACGTATAGGCGCAGAAAGTACTCGTTGTATATACAGAGAGAGAAAGAGAAGTCGTGTAGCGTGACCATTACCGTTAACAGAGGTGTGTGTGTGCGTGTGTGTGTGCCCTGTTCGTAATGGCATATAGCCGACGATTCTAGCCGGGCCCTCTCGTCCGCAGTCCTCTAATCGTAGACCCTTACTCGTAGCTGCGTATATCTATACAAGGGAGAGATTCGCGCGTGGTGTACGCTTCAACAGCCACCATCCTCCTCCATGAGCGTGAGTGCGATATCCGATCGGCTGTTTGCTTCTGCGACTGCTGCAGCTGGCGGCGCGCCTGCAGTTTCGAGGCGCGTTGAAACAAATATGGCAACTGGCCAGAACGACCGCAATTGTTGCTCGCTTCGGCCTATACGTGTGCATCGCAATATTTTCGCAATATTCTATACATTTATGGGACACATACGGTCGGAAGGTATCCTCATGCAATAGACGCTTTCGAGAGTCTTCCCTTATAGGGTACTTATACCAGTGATTGACCGCTTTCGACCAGTAAAATGAACACTATTGGATGTGCAATAACTATTGTTTTTCCTTCTTAAATTATGATCGAATTACACGGAAAACAAGATGCATCGTTCACTAAAGAATTGAATAATGTACATACAAATATATTTTTATTGTTTTTCATGTGATATTTTCCAAAATGGTCATTCACTGATACCCGGTCATTGATTGGTTCGACAACCTTATTTTTGATGACTTACTTTACGAGTTCGTTAGGGGAGCGTTTGTGGCGTAGTACTTTTTACCATAAATTATAGGTGAAACACAAAGAAAATGTATGAACTTTATTTACATTACAACTTAAAAACTTTACAGATTGCGTTCTGAATGAGGTGTTATGCTTACAGTGCTACATTTACAAAAATATTGTTATCAAATGCTTTGTTATGCAAAAAAACTATATATATTGAATAATGAAATATAAAGAATAAGTAATGATCAACTGTTCAAGCTCTATCTGCAGATATGCTGAATTCAAGTCACAATTATTTAATAATTTAACAATGATTTTCTGGATGACAAACTGGACAAGGTAGATTTTGAGATTGTAGTATTGATTGGGTTAAATTCATCCATATATCCGGATCATCTATTTTCTTCATCTTTGTATAATTGGAGAGTAATTGGGAGTGATTTGTCACGAACTCTATTGCTTCATCTTCCAAATGCTTTACTTTGTATTTATGAGCAGCTACTAGAATGTCAACTGCATTTTCAGAGGACATATCAGCACTTAAAATATTACTACACTTGATTTTCAAACTATCAATTTGATATTCATCAGCCGCAGCTAATAATTCAATAATCGTTTTTGTTTCGATTGCATTAATCTGTCCGGTGTAGATAAATCGCAACATTTCAATTACAACATTTGCAGTTGTGTCTGTTATCTTCACGAAATTTTCTTCGTTTTCCAACATATCATGTGTAAACTTGGTCCTAAATACTGGGCTGACCGCTGCAAGTACAATTTTGTGTGCTGGAATTTCCTGTTCTTCAACTTTCAATTTAACATCACTGAGTTTTTCACTAAGAAATGAAAAATCGAATTTTGTTGTATAGATTGTTTCATCTTTAATGCATATGATACCCGAATTCAATGAAGATTGAATTTGATCGAGAACTTCTAACTCGCATTGAATAGTTACAGTGTTCTCGGCAGAAACTAATTTGTCAATATTTTTCAGTTCATGAAATTGGGCCCTACCACAGGCAATGAAATTTTTGGTCGCAAAATCGTAATGCCTTGACAATTTTTGAATAACTTCTTCATCATTAACAACTGATACTGTCAATTTACATACGAGCTTATCCGGTTTCTTCGTTTTATCAATTACAGGTGTAATAAAGAACGAAACGAATCCTTCATCATCTTCACACTCGCCTTCAGGGTATAAATCGAGAAAGAAGTATTTCTTATTATCATTTCCAACACCAAATATTGGAGATCGTATTTTTTCTTTATTATTCATTTTTAGTAAGCGATAGTTCTTGATCGTCCACGTAAAAGTGCATTTATCTGAAGTAAATTCGGTGCATGCCTTTATTTGTTTTGATGACATTTTGACTCGAGTACCTGATAACTTTTAGAAACTTATTACCTGATCGAGTGAAACTCTGAGTTACAAAATTAAACCAATCGTACAAACAAGATAATATTTAAGCAGTGGTTTTCACAATAATCACTTGACGGTGTATCGGTTGATTTGGTTTCTGTTTGCGAGGAGCGACTAGATCAAAATGTGTTCTAAGCAGCAACACTTTTCGGTGGTAAATATTACGCGCTGAACACAATCAATAGCGCCAGATGTCCCAGCAATTTCAATGCGCAACTCTAATTCTTGTAAGAACGTGTGTGGAGGCACTGGTTATCTTCGAGCGTAAGTCGCATGGCATTTTCCGCTGCTGAGCCAAAAATTTCTGACTTACGCGTGCAGGTTTATATGTGTGTCGAGCGAGAGTCTGCCCAAATGTGTTGACTGCGACGATGTGACTCGGTAACAAGTAGAGAACGTAAATACAGCGCAGTGAGGCCGTCTGTAATAGAAGGTAGTAATAACAATTAAACTGACAATACACATAGGGCTGGAATACATTAACGTCAGGGTATAGCTGTCCATTTTACAACGATTATTGTTAAAAAAGCGACTTCGACTCATTTTTGTCAGTGTGTGTATAAAAATTATATCGATGAAATATTGTGAAAGATACTCGCGTTAAAAGCAATGCAAAATACTTCAAAAATAAAACTTTTATGAATTCAGAATTAAGATAAACGTATTGAGACTAGTTTCATATATTTAACTCTATTTTCAGGTATGTTGTAAGTTTCTGTTAGATGACGTATAGCTGAAGTCTTGAAAACCAAAAGAGTAAATAATAAATTTCCGCACTATATTGCGGAACTTATACTTATAAGTAAAAGCAGTTTCAAGTAAGAGCAATCGGTACATGCTAATTGCATATTTTTAATATTATGTAAATAATTTAAAAAACGTACGATAATCTTACACTATTACCTTTACACTAATATCTATGATAATATACATTATTACTTTTGAAATCATGTTCAAATACAAAGCTTTAAAATCAATCCTTACAAACTAAAATTAATAGAATCAACGAAATTTAAAGAGATCGTATGAAAGCTTAGTTCTAAAGAATGCTTGTATTTTACTTAAATTTTCAATAGAATTTTATAAGCTTTTATATAGGATTATAATAAGCTTTGTATACAATAGGATACACGTGCTTTGTATACACGACTTTTCTTTAATCATTTTACCCACGAGCTTTCGAATTTACACGATAATTTTCATATTACAAGAGAGAAATCGAATCTTTCCAGGAGAAAAGAGAGCCAGATTAAGGAGACACGGGTTCACATAGAATCGACTCAGCTGCGCACAGAGTTCGCTATGTTAATAGCATTGCTCGCTCATGTATATGGCTGATTCTTCGTGAAAACGAATAGCGACGTCATTCTTTCCCTCTTAATTTTTCTTAATAGGCTGCCAACTTGACGTCTATGAAAAATCCGAGAGTATTGAAAACCACGAAAAAAATATCGAAATTCCAAAACAGAAAATAGCGTAAAATAGCCATAAATTTTTCTGTGATGAAATCTCGAATCAAGCTTGATTAGATTTCGACTTCAAACCTTCGAAAAATCTCGTAAACTCATACCGAATTGTGGGACACGTATGACACTGAGAACAACAAGTTTTCCATGTCATCGGGAATAAAATTTTTTTTTTACCATCCACTTTCGCGGAGAATCAGCCATATACATACCTGTGCTGGTAATTATTCATTTCCAATGAAATCACGAGGCTCGAGTTCTCTTGCGGATATATAATATATTCTCGGCTTAATTTTCGTCGCCCCGAGTTTAAATATTGAGAAAGTTACGGAATAACGACGACGCTCGCGACTATATATCTATTTATCCGCTAACTTCTTTTCATCCTTGTTCGTCATATCCTATACATCCTATTTAACGCAGACCATACATATAGATGAAAAGACAGCGAGAGAACTGGGATGTATAAATGTAAAGATGCAATATCCATATATCTATGTATATTTATGTATCTATGTGCCATTTGTAGCGCGCGGCATCTTTCTCCATATATTAGCATCATTTCGTATTTAACTTTCTATTCTAATTTCATCATGTTGTAGAGTTTTCGCTCCCTCTCCCCCCGTTTTATTATTCCATCTTAGTCGTACATAATACACTTAAAGTCGAGCTAGCTGCTGCTGCTACTGGCATGGTAAAGCAGCGCGCAGGGACATGCTATATAGACTCTCTCTCTCTCTTTCACATACTCTTCGAAGCTCTACTCGTACTCGGAAAGACTTGCGCTACATAGAGCTTGCACGTAGTACGCTCCGGTGTATATCTATATAACGCTATATACGTTTTCGCTGCGGGTTTATTATTATATATAGAGAAGGCGAGATGTGGCGAGGCGGACAAGTCTCGGGCGCTCTCTTCGTCGTCCATACTATACCGAGCGTCGAGTCTATACATAGCTATACGTATTATATAATTCAAGCATCGTCGGGGGGAGAGAGAAGACGCTTGGACAATGGCGTGCGGCGAGCGCCCGCATACTGACTGCGCCGGCGACGAGTCGAGAATCAACATTTCAGCACAAACTATGAGAGCGTAGAGAAGAGAGACCAACGTGTACGTAGCTATAGCTATATAGGTATACACGGTATATTCGTTCCGAGGCTTGTGTCTCGCCGCATGCACGGGTTTATAAGCATGAGCGTAACTCGACGTCGACTCGAAACGAAAACGCGAGCTTGCGATCGCGTCTTGATAAATTTACCTTGTGCAGTTACGTGTGTGTATATCTATATAATATACGCTCGCGCATCTAGAGCAAAGGCACCGAGAGCAGGAAGAGGAAGAGGCCGAGTGTAGGATCCCATCCTTACGCTTTAGTAGTAGTAGTAGTAGTAGTAATAGTAGCAGTAGTAGTAGGTATATATGGTACGCTTAGACAGAGAAAGAGGAGACAGAGGGAGAGAGGGAGAGAGAGAGAGGATGGATGGAAGGAAAAGAGAACAGCGCGAGCGTGTATATATAATAGCTTTGCCATTGCTACCCCGACTATTGCCATGCTGCTGCTGCTGCTTCTGTTAATCCGCCGCAATGAATACAAGGGCCGGGATTTTACGCTGGAATTCGTTTTCATTACATTGAAATTGAAGCGAAGCGATCTCTTCTCTCTTCGCTGAGATTGCCAACGCTTCAAGTGATTCGTTTGCTCCTAGAGACGAGGGAGAGAGAGAAACGCTACTGCCGGTTGCACTCACAGAGAGAAATAGAGAAAGCGTCAAGACAGGCAGAAGAAGAAGAAAGCTCTATATACACAGGGCGAATATAGATGTAGCCTTGTGTATCATTGCGCCGCTGAGTTGCATCCCTTACTTTTGGCTTTGCGGCTTCCATTATCTGTCTTTCTTGTGCATATATTATTATAATAGGCAAGTAATATACATTATGAACGAACGAGAATTTTTGATGGATGATGAATTTATTTTTCTAAACTTCCACCGCAGGCTAAAGTTGAATTATGATTCTTCAAAGCGTATTGCGATCGATCTAAGCTTGTTATAAAAAATTCAAGCGTTGCTGATTTTACCGGTTCTTTATGCAGGTTTTACGATGATAATTCAAATTTTGAAAGTTTTTTTATATGCTGAATTTTTAACGAGGTAAAAAGTTTCTTAAGCCAAATAAAGCTCTGTGTTATAATATAAAATTTGTAGTAACGCTCGAATTTTAATATTTATACAGCGAAGATCAAGCCCAGTATGTAGTAATTTAACATTTTTAATAATAACTCAGAGTGATGAAAAATTGTAATATTTAATTTTAAATACAGGAAATTAGACGCTTCTTAATGCAAATTTTTAAACAAACTTAACGCGCCCCCTTCAAATTAAAAAAAAAAAAAAAAAGAACAAAAAATACACGACGTTACCCACAGACATTTGAAATAGCAGGATTTTAATATTCTCTTACGCACTCGGCACACGTACAAATTAGCGGTATGCTGCCATGGCGTATCTACTTTACGTACACATGCATATAAATGTGCAGCAGCAGCCGCCCCGACTACATTTCAAAATATTACGAATTCATGCGAAGAAACGCCACCGGAATAAAATATGCATTGACAGTTTAAAAACTGCAGCCGGTGCAAAAGCAGAATATGCAATATCTGCTGCTGCCGCTGCCTACATGTGAAATTTCACTCATACGCATATGTGCGCTTTGCGCGTCCGCCTGACCAAAGCCTGTTTCCGTTACTCGGCGTGGCGCGCAGCAACGTGTCCGTGAGAGGCCGCAAAGTTTTTATAATCCCGTGTTTTTTTTATATATAAATTGCCGGACGGGCGCGCGCGTTACAGCGATGAACATATGACGCACGAAAAGAAAGAAAGAAAGGAAAAAACAGCATATTAATCGATAAAAATAACGTATGGATCGAATCGAAATAAATGCATTTACCGCAATTGAGCGTATACGTACATATAGCCGCATAGCACGCTTACTCGCCGCAGCAGCAGCCGCGGCACGCGTGTCACAGACGTTATGCCGCGCGCGCGCGTGGAAAAAGTTTTGCGCCCGCAGATGACTTTTGAAAATAGTGCAAAGTTCCTCCTGCTGTATATTTGCCCGGCGAGTGTACACATACCGCAAGCGCGACGCAGACGCCGGTATATATAGGAAACACATAATAGCTGCTGCGACGAGCCGAGGCGCCTCTGCACCAACGGAGCGGCTCCCACACAAGACTTTTCCGCGTATAACAGCATTGCAACTGCTTTTAGTCAGGCTCGACAGCACTCGCGCGCTGACGTTCAATCGTAAATCTCGGACCAGCGAGTCCCTTATTCTCTGGACTTTTTTGCCGCAGTACTACGACGTGCGTACGTGCCGCGTGTACGCCTGCGAAGCTTCACCAAGCTTGTGCGTACTGCATGCGCACAGGAAGCTGCGGACGTAGCGTATCTATTCTTTAGGCAGCGCACACACACGCGAATGCTGTTCATTGTTGCGTTTGCGAGTCGCAAGCTCTATACATGTATGCGTGTTACAGCAGCATAGCGCCATGTCCAGTGGCAAGTCATTTATCATAATAAAGAAGCGTAAAAGCGCGTGTGCCCGAGTATCTTGTCTGATATATCGTAATATATATGAGCAATTCCACAATTTACAGGAAAAATTTTGGGCTTAGAAAGGGTCCAATTTTTCTTTTCTATTGGATATTTGAACATTTGGCTAATGAACAAATTGTTTATTGTTCTTTAAGGTGCTAGGAAGCTGGAAAAACACGAGAATAATCAGAATTTTTATAGGTATATTTTTTAGTAAAAAAACTTGCAGGTAAATTTTGGGAACCGGTCGTTTGTGTACAACAGAGTGCCAGCGGCGCCAGACGAGGTACTGGCGAGTATCGAGCTTTATAATATACATGTCGCTCTCCTACACATGCGTGACTTACACCGCTG